AAGTCACAGTCAGAGTTGCCTTCACGACAACCTGTAGTAACACTAGTTTTCTCCATATGTGTGATCTAGAATATGCACAGGCTGGGCACGTGTTGAATACTGCAGCTCCAGCAGATAACACCAACTGCACTTACTCGAACCCAAAAGAGGACACAAGGCCTCAGCTCAGGTCCACACATGGTATGCAAAAAGGTCAGCTAAGGATTCCAGGAGGCTGAGCAGAAATCACATGAGACAAAGAACTAACAGTCTCCTCACTATCAACTCTGACAATTTCTAGCCTCCAAGACCAAGTGCAATGAGATGCAGTGAAATGGAGGAAGTAAAGTTTTACCTGCCTCAGGTAATACTCCCCAGAATGTTTTTACTGCTCTAAGCAAAAGACTAGCCTCCACACTATTTTCTACCCTCTAATCTTTGTCCCTTCCAACTGATCCTACTGAGAAAGAAAGAGTGAAGGCCATTCTTAGAGTCTCCCATCAGCAGTAATTACCAGATGCCAACAGAGTGTCATGGGTTAGGACCAAGTTCACATTCTAATGACATCATACCCAGACTGCTATAGTAGCTATTCACCACTCCCTTCTCCTGCTCCCCTCTCACCCTGCTCATTTTAATGTTTAATCATGCTATGATAGTCTATTTACCTATACCAGAATCTCCATGAAACACAGAAATTCAAGTTTATGCAAAGTGGGTATCTTGAATGTATTCTGGCCCCAATCAATGTATTCTGGCGCATAAATCCCCACATCCAGGCAAATGGCTCTCAGGACCTTTGCTTACTCTACTCCCCAATCCTAACATCTGCTGCCTATTCAATCCCTAGCCAAATTTTCAAGCCAGACTGAATTCCATCTCTTCTGTGAATAGATATCTAGGATGGAAAAAAAAAAAAAAAGCTCTCTTAGTTCTCTGAATCCTATAGTGCTTACCACCTGGACCACTCATCTCATAAGCTGTATATCATGTATAAATATCCATTCATTTATTCAATAAGTGTGTTCTGATACCAGATAATCTAGATCAGGTAATGTGGCCTCTAAAGAACTCAAGATCTACACAACAGGGGTAGGAAGAGCACAAGGGACTATAGAGATGATTCACATGGGTGAATCAGTAATAGGAATTTCACAGGGACTACACCTGAGAGGAGAAAGCATACATTGCACAAAAATGAAGAATGATGTAAAATATATATATATATATATAAAGAACTCAAGATCTAGGAGAAGAAAGGAAAGACAGGAATGCCATTTATTGAGTGTTTATTCTAAGCAGGTCATGATGCTATCTCTTCCATGTCAGCTCAGTTCATCTTTACAACTCATGGAGATAATTATCATCACTTTTGGGTCTCCCTGGTGGTGCAAGGGGTTAAGCACTGCACTGTGAAGCAATCCACAGCCTCTGCACCATGAATTCGATCCCCAGCCAGTCAGGGAGCAACCCACATGGCGCAGCAGACCTCTCTTGTCTCGCCGGCTGCTCAGCAGTGTACTTTGGTCAATCTGCCTGTCTCTGTGAATCCTCTCTGTCTCTGGTGAATCCTCTTACCAACCCCCCCCCCGGCCCCCCCGCATCTCTGGCCTGTAGCCCAGCTCTTTTATGCATAAATAAATAAATCTTTAAAAAAATTATCATCACTTTTATAATAAGAAAGCTGCTGTGTCTCAGAGAGTTAAACAACTTGGAAGATACCCAGGTATGCTGTTTTTTTTTTCATCTCTACTACCCCCATGCCTTCTGACTCTCTGCTCCTCTCTGCCTTGCCGATCTCTAAAATAGGAATCACCCAAGCTCCTTTGCCCACTGAATCCCAGTTAGGTTTGGCCAGTGCAGGGCAACCACTGTAGCCAGGAGGAAGTACTTGCTCCCTTCCTGGCTCACTGGGTTCTGGCCGTGGCTGCACTGCTCAGCCTCCCTCCTGAGAAAGGGTTCATCCGTAGTTCCAGCTTCTCTTATCAGGGTCCAGGAAGACCACCATCTTCCGCTGCCCCTTCAGACCAGGAGTGGTAAGGAGATAGGTTCCACTTGGCTGGTGAAGCCCCTTGGTTCTGCCCACACCTCCGTAAATGGTCACTTCATTAAAATTGCTTCAGGAAAGCCCCCTTAGATGCCAAGTGCTTCCTGCCACACACGGAGAGCAGGATTTGAACACATGTCAGTCTTAGTGCAGAGACTGCCTCTTTCATTTTAATAACTATTATGCAGAAGTCCATGCTACGTGCTGAGGATCAAAATGAAAGGCGCTTTGATAAGAAAGATAAGAAAAGACTTTTCTAAACAAATCATTTGAACATAGGTCAGTCTTAACAGGTGAACTGCAGTTCGCCAGACAAAGAGTGAGGATAGGCATTCAAGGATAAAATAAACAGCAAATTCAAAGTCACAGATGCATGAGGAATACATGAGGAATAAGTGTAGTGTTCATGAGAGAATAATAATGGTTGAGAGTTCCTAAACTTTGATAATAATCATGTATTTCTCCAACCTGATCCACATGAGGAGATTAAAAGAAGCAAAAAATTAGCTATATTTGGAGCAAAAGAATGAATACACCTATTCCCTACCTTCAATGGAGTCCCACCACAGGAGATAAACCAAATGATTTAGCATAATATACAATCCCTTAATGATTTGGCCCTGCCTGGCCCAACCAGTCTCATCTACCAGCACCATCTCTAGCTGTTCCCTGAGTACCCTATACACTTCAATGCCTCTGTGCTTTTGCACTTGTTCATCTGGGATACCTACCTCCACCTTCTACCTGATAATGCCTTATCTTTCAGGGCTCACCTCAGGCGTCTGATTCTCTGTAACTATTTCTGGCCCTCCAAGATGCTTAATAGTGCCTTCTGCCTAATTCTACAATAGCATTTTCATCACACATGTATTACATTTACTTGTTTGCATGCATGTCCATTGCTCAACTGTAAGTTCCCAGAGAATAGGTACTGCGGGAAGATACTATAGGAAGCAGACTGTAGATGTCAAGGGCTTGGACTCTGGTGACAGGCTGCCTAGATCTGAATCTCGGACTGCCCCAAACAACCAGGTCACCTTAGGCAAGTTATTTACTGCCTCTGGGCCTCAGTATCATTATCCATAAGATGGGAATAATAATACCTATCTCATAGGGTTAAGTGAATCACATAGAACTATTTATTTAATACACTAAGCTCTCAGTAATTGTTAGTTATTAATATATCTGTGCATCCCTTATTTCTTATAATTAGCATATGCTTATTGAATAAATTGTCTTTTCACAGCATATTATTCCTCACAGACACCAAACTCTACTTAGATAGCCTTTGTCTGACTAAATCATGAAAGAAGACTTATGTCTACATATGTGCTATTTTAGAATTAGTTAAAGATAAACATGGCCTTTTCTGTACAGGAATTCAGCTTCTTACCATCATCATTGGTCACTGAGTCAGACATTCTTCTGGTCTTCTAGCAATCTCCACAATTACTCCCTCTGCCCCCTGCCACAGAAGGGCAGTTCTGTCTCAACAATTTACAAATACTCAAATACTTATTAACAGATCAAATCTTAATGACTCCCCTATGTTGGCATGAGGAACAACAATGACAGGCTCCCCACAGCAGAGGGGTAAACCATAGGGAAAAATTTAATGCTAAATGGAAAACTATTACAGGAATGAAATACTCTTACAAAAAAATTTTTTTTCAAGTTTTTTTTTTAAAGATTTATTTATTCACAAAAGAACAGGGATACAGGCCAGATGTGTGGGAGGATGAAAGGATTCACCAGAGACAGAGTGGGGAGCAGAACAGGCAGACTGACAAAATACACTGCTGAGGGGAGCAGCCGGCAAGACAGGAAAGGTCTGCTGTGCCATGTGGGTAGCTCCCCGGCCAGCCAGGATTGAACCCACACCTCAGAGGCTGTGGAGAGTTTCACAGTGCTGCATTCAACTGCCTATGCCACCAGGGAGGCCCTTTTATTCAAGATTTAAAATGGCTCTTTCTAAGCCCCAAATCCGTAACTGTCACAGCTTTGGTAAAAATTTCATGTGTGAGAACCCCAACTAAAAAGAATAAAGATCAGGGCCTCCCTGGTGGCACAAGGGATTAAGCACTGCACTATGAAACAATCCACAGCCTCTGCAGCACGAGTTTGATCCCCGGACAGGGAGATACCCACATGGTGCTGCAGCCCTCTCCTGTCTCGCCCGCTGCTCCCCTCAGCAGTGTGTTTCAGTCAATCTGCCTGTTCTGCTCCCCACTCTGTCTCTGGTGGATCCTCTCACCCCCCCCCACATCTCTGGCCTGTACCCCAGCTCTTGTATGCATAAATAAATAAATCTTTAAAAAAGCAAGAAAAAAGATCAAAGCCCACCAAAGGCTATGCGTAGGAGGCAAGGAAAGGTGGAGACCCACTCTCAGTTGAGCCCTAAATTTCCTAGATAAGGCCACAGTGCTGTCAGAGACACAGGGCACTGGTTAGAAAAAGAGAGCGCTGCCACCTTGGTACAACACAAAGGCCCCACTCTAGAAGCTCAGCACTCCTAGAGTCACCCTAGCCGGCGGCAGTGAAGCACAGGTCTTACTCTTTCAAGTTCTTACTCTTACTCTCTCAAGAGTAACTCCTAGAGGGTTCAGCTGCCACCCTGGCCCACTTTCCCCTCCGGCCCTCTTCCGAACTCATACCCCCTTGACCAACTCTGATTACCAAACTTCATTTTGTTGTTTCTCTGCCCCCATCCTCATTCTAGACCCTGACTCTAATGGTGCTCAGAATTCCTCAGTTTTCAAATCTGATGGTGACTAACTAGCTACATTGACAACTCTCTGCCTCAGGGCTCACTGGGCAACCACATTCCTTGCTGAAACTCATGACAGCTCTGCTACTTGTTGGAGATAACAATAGTTTATCCTAATTATTTCAAGTTAATCTAATCAATTTTAAAACTAGAGAATGACGACACCGTGTATGTAACATTTCTTCTGAAAGACCATTCTCCACTTACAGTCCTTCTGGTCGAAGCACCTTGAACAGAGTGATAGAACTCTGGCTGCACTCGGCTATTTTTCTTAATTCTTCGTTTCCTCACTGAAATTTCTTGCTCACTCTGATGGTGAACTTCCACCACAGGCTTCACTTCTTCCAGACGAGCAGCTGCGGCTGCTGCAGTACGTCTCCTGATATGCCGAGGGCTGGCTCTGAATCCCTGTGGCAGAAAACACAATAGAACAAATACAGGTTTGTATTAAGTTTGTTAGGAAATGATCTGGGGCTAGTTATACAAAGAGCTCCAAGCCACCAAGCCCAAGATCACGTACATTCCCATATTAAGTATGAAGGAGGCTCAACATGCAAGCAAGAGTTGTGTGTTCTGTAAAGCACCTAAGTACTTAATTTAATTTAAAACATGAAATATTATTTAATCCAGTAATGTCAGTACAGGGGGAAAAAAGGCAGGTGGAACCACTGCTTTACTTATGTATTTATCAATGAGAGTATGTATGAAAAAGAATGTTCCAAACTAAGGCATGAAGGGCATAGGGAATAGGACTGAGTACTATTCTAGGGTAAGGTATTATTATATGTTCCTAAGAGCAGACTATGAAGAAAGGAAGGCAGAAATATAGAGAATTATTATAAACACCATAAAGTGAGGCTGTAAAACTAAATGGAGGCAATGTAGTAAAATGCAGAGTACAATTCAGCTATGCCATAGTACACATTTGGGAATGTACAAACTTGGAAATATCAAAGCATTACATATAATATTCTCTGACCTTACATAACTTACAACTTTCTGGAGAGCAGAAAAAAGTCTATAAGAGCTCAGGAACACACTGGAATCTCTAATGAAAGGTTAACGTGGGCAGTTGAGGACTCAGTGTTAGCATATCTCACAGAAAGAATCAATGAATGAAACTAAGAATAGTCTGTATTTGGCTTAGCTGAGTGGGTGGCACTTAAAGAATGAATAAATTTATATTCCAGGCAAGGGAAACAACATAAAGAATGAATGAATAAGTAAAATGATAGCCAGATAGAATATTTATGGAGCAATAAGAAACATTATTTGCCAATGCGCCAGGATGAGAATACAAATTACATACTAAGTATGGTAGGAAGCTAGAGGGAGGAGGCATTAAATGCTCCAAATGGGGCTTCTTTGAAATTATGGGTCTTTGGAATTTTAAAGGATGTATAAGAAGCTAAAGATTGCAGTAAAAGCATAAGAACAATTAAAATTTCAGGGCAAAAAGTAGCATGCAACACTGAAAGGTTAGTGGGTTCCGAGCGATTCTCACTGAAGGACAGGGGACGAGATCCTGAATATGAGCGTGAAGAATATGAAGGAGAAAAAGGACAACAGTATGAGGTGACTGCAGTGTCAAAGTAGCACTGTAGGCAACAGAAATCAATAAGGAGGAAATACAAATGAATCTGGCAAAACTGATGGCATTGCTTGACTGCTTTCTTTTCATGCCCAAACGTATTAGCCTATTTCCTTCCTCCTATCTGCAAGCTCAGCTGGATCCTCTTTAGCCCAAATAGTCCCAAAAGATAGCCATAGTTCCCACATAATCCAAGAGGTACTGTAGCAGCTGCCAAACAAGAGGATAAAGGAGCAAGAAGTAGCTGGGTCAGCTGCTAAACTAGATTCCATAGTAGAATGAGGGGAAACATGTTAGAACCAACATCCACAATGCCTGCTTCTAAAATATGCAGGTTCTTAGACACTACCTGTGGAATAATATAAAATATATATTTGGGGCCTCCCCGGTGGCACAGTGGGTTGAGCGCAGCACTGTGAAGCTGTCCGCAGCCTCTGCAGCGCGGGTTCAATTCCCAACCTGCCAGGGAGAAACCTACATGGTGTGGCAGACCTCTCCTGTCGCACCCGCTGCTCCCCTCAGCAGTGCATTTCTGTCCATCTGCCTGTCTGTTCCCCACTCTGCCTCTGCTGAATCCTCTCACCCTCCCATGCCTCTAGCCTGTACCCCAGTTTTTGTATAAAAATAAATATTTAAACAAAAAAATGAAATATATATTTGTCTCTGTTTTTGTTTCCTAGCACAGAGCTCCTAAAACCTTTGTAATTTCTTTAGTGATAGGAACACTAAGGACATTCTTGTTGTAATGAGGCAACTCTGTGTGGGCTTCTGGTTTGGGGCCGTTCCAGAAAGACCAAGATATGATGAGACTCATAATTTTCAGTCTCACTGCCCCATCCTCCAAAGAAGGGAATGGGGTGATTAATGTGCCTACACAAGGAAGCTCCCATAAAATCCCAATAGTATGAGGTTCAAGTTGTTTCCAGTCAGTGAGCACATCTGGACCAGGAGGCTGACATAATCCAACTCAACAGAGACAGAAGTTCCTGCACTTAGGACCCTCCCAGTGTCTGCCCTACGTATCTCTTCATCTGGCTGTTCATCTGTATTCTTTATTATATCCTTTAGTAAACTGGTAAACATAAATAAGTGTTTCCCTGAATTCTATGAGCTGCTCTAGCAAATTAATCAATCCAAAGGAGGAGGAAATCATGGGAACCTGATTTGTAGCCAAGTCACATAGATATTTTGGATAAACGGGAGACCGACTACTTGTGATTAGCATCTGCTGGGGCAGCCTCCTAGGACTGAGTCTTGAACCCATGAAAGCTAGGGCTATCTCCAGACAGATAGTGTCAGAATACAGATAAACTCTGGAACAAAACACTGGTGTCACATGAATTGCTTTGTGTGGGGGGAAAAACCTACGCAAATTTGGTGATCAAAAGTGAGTGTACTTGGGCCTCCCCTGGTGGCGCAGCAGTTGAGCTCTGGGCTGCGAAGCTGCCCGCAGCCTCTGCAGCGCTGGTTCGATCCCCGGCCACTGGGCAAGGGTCCCATATGGTGTGCAGACCTCTCCTGTCTCGCCCGCTGCTCCCCTCAGCAGTGTATTTCTTTGTCAGTCTGCCTGTTCTGTTCCCCACTCTGGCTCTGGTGAATTCTCTCACCCTCCCCGCTTCTGACTGTACCCAGTGCTTGTATAAATAAATAAATAAATCTTAAAAAAAAAAGGTCAGTGTACTTGGCATTCAAGCAAAGAAGATGCACAGGAAAGTAAGATACATTAAGAACGAATCAGGTTTCTCCCTATGCAGGACGCAGGCAGACCTGTGGGTTTTTCCCTTCTACTCCTCCAATTTGCAAACACATGCACCTGTGCGCACACACACACACACACACACCCCTCCTCCCTTCTCAATGAGACTTGCTAGGAGTGAGACCAAAAAATCTCCTTTTTTAAAACAAGCTTCCCTGGTAATTTTTCCGAACTTTGAAAATTAAGAATCTTTAGGAGTTGGAATTAGTCAAACCACTAGATGGCAATAACTTCAAAAGTATTCTGCATTCTTTCTAATTCAGAAAGGTGTTCACTGGTAAAATTAACATGGTTGGGAGAGAGAGAGGTGTTGAGAATATTTCTTTGGTAAGAATGCAGACTCTTGTCCTCTTATATTCTTGTGAGTAATTAGCAACCCAATTTTGCTTAACTTGTATTATTATCAACAGTCTTTGTTGGGCTACAAATTCTAGAAATATTGAAGGAAAAAAGCCCCGTAAAGTGACTGAAAAGGAACTGAAACTTGTTGGTCCAGTCATTCTGAAGAGCAATCATCTAGTCTAGAGAACTTCTATAAGTATACCCAAGAAGGTATTTAAGCATGACTAATGATAATAAAATTAGAAGCAGTTTTTGTTAGTATCTCCTAAACTTCAGTAATTTTTCATAAGACCTAAGTACCACCATGAGGACCGCTGTGATGTCTGCTATATCCAAATACACTTGCATTATTTTTAAAATTTCTGTAAGTGCTAGATATGGTACACAGCCTGCAGCCAGATTGGCACAAATGCTGACTCTTTGACTTCCTGGTTGTATGAAATTAATTAGTTTCAAAGCCATTTCCTTATCTGTAATATGGGGATTAAAATAGTACTTACTTCATAGGGATGATGAGAAAACTATATGAATTAATGTATTACTTAGAGGAGCATCTGACACATAGCAATATGTAAATATAGCTATGATTATTATGTATACTACTTGTGTTCATAAAACAAACATTTTTAAAACAAAAGTGTGTTATCAATCAGTAAAAGGAAAAATGAATCACACTGCAGGTGTCTTGCTGAGAGACACACATGAGGTAACATCGAGCTGCAAAGCACCCCGATCCTAGCGAGTCAAACTAACTACCTGGACCCAAAGATGAGGTCTATCCCTTAATAGATGCGCAGTTTTGACCAAGATATTTCTCTGTGCCTCAGTTTCTTAATATGTCAAATGGATATAACAATGCCTCTTTCACAGTTATGATAGTGTTTGAGTAAAATAATCCACATTAGCTACACAGAACAGTGCATAGTTTACAACAAGCAGTCAATAAATTATCACATTATTGTTACTAACTCACTTGCTTCCCGAATGTTGCTGCAGAAACTCACACAGCAGCAGTTCAGAATTATGACTAGGAACACTATAAACAACATGGGCATTAATCTTTTTTATTTTCCTAAACCACTGTACATTATGATAGAACCTCAGTTCGTTACACTTGCTTGTCCTAAATACTTTTAACAGAGGATATTTTATTTTAAAACAGTAGGTGGTGCTATAAGCTCTTGCAGGTATAAATGGATTTGATGGTGTCATTTGATCTATTCATTTGGCTAGTCTGAATACCCCTTAACCAGTAGGTGATCGACACTTTAAAGACTTGTGCCATTTTTAGGCCATCCAGTTTTATCAGCATCTTTAAGGTAACAAATTCTCAAGATTTTCAGTCTTGATGTAGAACTAGTCAAGGGGCTCTACTACCCACTCCAGATTTTTCCTCTTAATAATCTAGAGGAATAGCCTCTATAGAAAGCAGTGTGGAGGTTCCTCTCAAAGGACTCAAAATGGATCTGCCATATGACCCAGCAATTCTACTCCTAGGAATCTACCCAAAAGAACACAAAAACACTAATTCAAAGGGAAATCTGAAACCCTTTGTTTATTGCAACACTATTTACAATAGCCATGGTATGGAAACAGCCTAAATGCTCCAAATCAGATGAGTAGATCAAGAAGATGTAGTATATATACACAGTGCAATACTATTCAGCAAAATATATCTATTTTGAAATGACTGGAAGTGACTATGCCAAGTGAAATAAG